GACAAACATTTGATAAATGGGATTTGAAGAAATAAATCACTGATTAACGTCTACTTCTTTAGCCTTAAACTCAATTTAATATTATTAAATGTGCATAATCATAACATTTGGGTTACTCCATATATTGTTTAGTTGCTCACTGTTTTCTAATATAAAAATAAAAAATAAAAAAAACATTACAAGCGTATCATTTTGTCATTTATATTTTTTTAGAGTACGCTCGTTAAGTTGCATGAATGTAATGAATTTTTGATAATGATTTAAATTTTTAAAATTTGTTTCGTTTAATAAATACCTAATCAACAAGGCATAGAAATGCTTTAGCCATAAAGAGCAAAGTAAGCAATACTGCAACTAATATCACTTTAACTTGTGAGTTCACTCTTTCTAACAAAACATTTTTAGAAGAAGATGTAATCTTAGTCAATTGAATTATCAATTTAGTCAAGTGGCTCACTTGATTAGTCAAGAATTTAGCAGGAGTAGTTAGATCTTGTTTTCCTAATTAGGGGCTTAAGGCACTTAGGTCTAATGTGACCTAAAACACCAAAGTTATGACATGTGCGAATGAACCTAGGACCAACTTTAGGTTGAGCAACCATATGTTGCACATATACTCTAGGTTCAGAGGCTGCTCACTTTGACTTAACATAGGCAAATGCTAACTAGGTTTTAGAAGATGAAGCAATATATTGATATTAGGTTTATTCAATCCTAACAGTAATCTTAGATAATATGATTCAAGGCACGAAGGCAAGTCCGGGGAAGGACCAAAGATCGTTAAATAAAGGCCTATGACTAGATCAATAGTGAAAAGAACTAAGGAAGCTATGAGACTACTTGCTCAAGCCACGATGGAAGAAATATTGATCTTAGCTAGTAAATCAACAATTTTCATATTGGGCTCGAAGGAAGAAACACGATGGATCAATTTGGTTCAAGCAATGAATGAAGGGAACAAACCACATAACTATGCGACCGCATAATTATATGAACCATGCAATCGCATGTGACCTTGCAGAGAATGGAACATAGGTTTTGAAGTGAATTACGCGACCGCATAGGCTAGAACTATGCGGTCGCTTAGTACAATTTCGTTGCGCAAATTTTCCAATTTCGCTGCGCAAATTTTCCAATTTCGCAAAATCTTCTAATTATGTTAAATTCTATTTTTATTTTTTACTTTTAACTTTTGTAATATTTGGACTTTTATTTCTGTGTAGACCATGTTTATGGGTTTCTTATAAATAGAACTTATTATTCTCATTGTATAACAACTTTTGTCATATATACAATTGAGACGTCAATTTGTGAGTGTAACTTTGCTTTCAATTCTTGTTCTTCATTGAACTAATTTCAAACTTATCAAAATTTGTTTCTTTTGGTGTTCAAAAATCTAGGTGAGATTCTTGAGTCTTGTGATCATGGTGTCAACATATTATCTATAATTGTGTTGGTTCTTTGGTTCATTATTCTTTTATCGAACTTAAAAATTTGATTATTGGCTTTCTTAGGTTGAATCAATCTTGTGTGGGTTTCATAGCTACTATTGCTATATAGGTTTGCATCAGTTGGTATCAGAGTTTAGGCTCCAAAAATCAAGGTTATATTATTTTCCTTCTTTTTTGAGTCTTTTGTTTTGTTTTTGTTCTTTGCATTCTTCATCTTTTTGGCTCTTTTCATCTTTTGAGTCTTCAATCCATGAAAATACCAAAACATTTTGAAAAGTTATTTTTGTGCTAATTTAGCATCCTAATCAATTTCTATTTCTTTTGTTGGTATCATAGTTGAATTTGCGAGCAAAAAAAATTCAGAAATTGTTAGTAATATGCAATTTCATTTTTTTGAGTAAAAAAAGGTTGGTGTCCAATCAAAACCCAAGAACTTCTTTCTTGGATTAATATTGGTTCCTATTCAAAGTAATGATTTTGGCTTAATCGATCCCGAACTGAACCGTTGCCAACCCTAATAGGATAGAGGTGTGTGGGGAATATAAAGTGCGTAGTGACATTAATGAGGATACATTGTTGGATGTCGAGTTAGGAAGAATAAAGAATAGATGAGTTAGGTATGAAACGAGGGGTAAAGATCTCGTTGGAGATGGAGTTGATAGAAGTACGGGCAATATCAAAATGACAATTCCTTCATTCAAAGGAATAAGTGATCCAGAGGCATACTTGGAGTGGGGGAAGAAGATAGAGTTAATATTCGACTGCTACAACTACTCGGAGGATAACAAGATAAATATATAGTTACTTGAGCTTATCGATTATGCTATTACTTGGCAGGACCAAGTAGTGGCATCTAGGAGGAGGAATCGTAAGAGACCTATTAATACATGGGAAGAATTTAAGGCTATTATAAGGAAAAGGTTCGTGCTAATCATTACTATATGGAGCGTCATTATAAATTACAAAGCCTCTACCAAGGTTCTAGGAGTGTGGAGAATTATCATAAGGAGATTGAGATTGCGATGATTTAGCGCAAAAGTTAAAAACTATAGGGGTCACCATGGACCAGTTTTTGAATGAACTGAATAGAGAAATAGCTAATATAGCAGAACTATAATATTATGTGGAATTGGAGGGCATGCTACATGTAAATATGAAGGTCAAGAGACAACTAAAGAGATAGAGGATAACTAGATATCCATTCGGTTCTTCGCCTTCTAATTCTTCTTCGAAACCAAAGTGGGATAACAAGGGAGATGGAGTTGTCTTGAAGACCAAAACTGAACTACCGAAGAGAAAAGAGGAAATTGATATCAAGGTCACATCCAAGGCAAAATCTCAACCATCTAGGAATCGAGATATCAAATGATTTAGGTGATTGAGATTGGGATATATTGCTTCTCAATATCCAAACAAAAAGACAATGATTTTACAAAATTGAGGTTAACCAAGTTAAAACATCCTAAGCCTTACAAATTGAAATAGTTGAATGAATGTAGAGAGATTAAGTTGAATAAGAGGGTATTGGTAAGTTTCTTAATTAGGAGATATCATAATTAAATGATGTGTGATGTAGTTCCTATGCATGCTACACACATTTTATTGGGTAGGCCATGGTAATAGGATAGGAAGGTGATTCATGAAGGATGCAAAAATATATATAGCTTCAACGAAGATGAAAGATCTATTACTCCTGCGCCATTAACACTGACACAAGTGTATGAAAATCAAATCAAATTGAAGAGCGAGGAAGAAAAAATATTGAGAGAAATAGAGAGCAAGAGAGAATATAATAAGGTGACTAGTAGTGAGAAAAAGGAGTAGAGCTACAAGAAAGAGAAAAAACTCTTTCAAGATGAGAAAAAAGTCGAACGTGAATTTCTTTGCAAAAGGGAGTGAGTTGAAAAGGGCAGTAGTTGAGAAGCGACCTATGATCTTGTTGGTTTACAAAGAGTCACTCCTCAATATTAAAGAATCTAACATACATTTTTCGAGTTTGGCTACTTTTTTATTGTAGGAATTTGAAGACGTGTTCCCAGTGGACATGCCTAGTGGGTTACCATCCATTCGAGGTATTGAACATCAAATTGATTTTGTGCCTGGAGCTGTCATTCCAAATAGGCCGACTTACCGAACTAATCCCAAGGAGACCAAGAAGCTTCAAAGGCAAGTGTCGGAATTGATGAGCAAGTGTACGTGAGGGAGATGGAACCAATGCTACTTATGCTAAAGAAAGATGGAACCAGAAGAATGTGTGTAGATTGTTGAGTCATCAACAATATAACGATAAAGTATCGTCATCCTATTTCTAGGCTTATGAATTACACAACTTACTGTTGATGAACACAAAAATAGGTTTTCGTTTTTTACCCCCTTTTTGGTTAATTTTGTTAATCTTCAATTGGGCTTTCATGATTGTTTTTTACATCTTATCAATTATAATTACCTTCGACTTTCTGTAAAATTGGATTTATTAATATCTAATATCAGAATTTCAACAAAAGAGCTAGGAAACTAGAATGTTGATTCAGGAATAAAATAGCAGTAAGTAAATTGACAAATAAAAACACGCATGGTTTATAGAATTTCGACTCAAGGTGAGAACGCCTTCATCTGCTACCGCAGCAATTCACTGAAAGGAACTTTATAAGAAAAATGCACTGCAAAGATTGATTCGACTCCGCACAACGACGATAATTAGAGTCTATAATTTAACGAATAGATCCCAAGCCAGAATTTCACATGTTCATTTCTTTGTGGGAATGAATAATGACTGTTTGAAATGTTGGATTTTAGGTCTCAAATTGAGAAAATTGATATGAAGTTAGCAGAAAAGTACAGAATCCTTTAGCTCAATGAGTTTGATGAATTCATGTTGGAAGAATATAAGAATGCGAAGTCGTACAAAGTAAAGACCAAGAGATGGCACGGTAGGCATATCAAGGAAAAAGAGATCGAGGTTGTTCAGTAAGTTTTCATATTCAATTCTCACCTCAAACTATTTTCAGGTAAGTTGAGGTCAAGGTGGTCTTGTCCATTCACCATTGTAGATGTACTTCCACATGGTACAGTGGAAGTGGTATCTCAAGATCACTTGAGGAGGTTCAAAATTGATGGGCAACGATCGAAAGCTTATTGTGGGCATGAATATTCCAATGAGAAGACAATCATGCCACTTGATAATGTGGAGTTGCCTAAGCAACAAAATCAATCTATAGACTTCAAACGAGTGCTTGTTGGCAAACAACCCAGTTCTCTTCCCTTTTATTTATTTAGCTTTGACGCATTAGAATAGGATTTTTATTGATTAGGCATGTTCAAGTAGGTAGGCGTCAATCATCCATCACATTGGTCATAAGAGTCACGCATGTGTTCACGAGTTTCAATCGTATTATGCATGAGTTAAGGGATGTTAAAATCACACTTGGGTGAGTTGGAGTGAAAATCATGGATTTCGAGGCAAAATGAGAATTTTGAGCTTTAACCAACTACGAGTGTGTTATGTGCGGAAAATATTGAATTTCATGAAATTTTTATGTTCCACACCACGTTCATACTTTGCCAACGTTTTTGGATAAGTTCACAGTATTTTAGAATGAAAGTTTTGGAAAATTCTTGTTAGAATGAAAAAACAAGGATATTGGAGCTAAGTCAAGACATGTTTCAAAGTTGATATTACTTTCAAAAAATTTTCATGACTACATACACATATGCTCATGAAAACATTTTTTGGCATGAAAATCAAGTAGAGATTTGAGGTAGGTCAGATTAAGCTAACAAAGTGTGGTAAAGAAAAAATTTTCCCTACTGGTATTCAAGGCACGATACCTGGGCTATGGTCCAGGCGCGCGCCTGGTGCTCAAATAAGGCTACCTGAAGCAACCTTAACAGGTGAGTCCCATCTCTCACCTTACAATGGGCGCACATCTCATACCGAGTGGGGAGTGGGGAGTTTTAAAACTCCTCAACCTGGATACACGATCTCCATTTCCCACAAAATCGAAAACCCTACTCCCATTCCTCCAAATCTTCACCAAAATACATTAATTCACTTGAGATTCTCACTTGGGCATACACTATCAAGGGCATTAGCACAATATATCACAAGATTTCGCTCTTCTAATTCCTTCACCTCAAGAAAATCAAGGTATTTGTTACACTTGCCGAGTTTCAAATTTCATGCTATGTTACTTGAAATCTTGAATAAAGTTGGATTGGATTGGTGAATGCGCTTAGGTAATGCTTGGATTTTGTGGCGATCTTGTTAATTTTGGAGATTAAACACACTTGTTTATTCTTGAGTATTGGTTATAAGTTATGCCTACCAAATGTTCGATTAAATGTCAAAGTGGAGTATTTGTCCGAATTATTGCACCAAACTCGTCCAACGCGCTCACGTACATAGATAAGCAAACCTACATACTTGCGTTCTTGTGTTGGCACATGTTTTCACAAAATTAGAAGGGACGCATGCATCAGCCTACGTCCATGCTCTCCCAGCTTACGGTCCCTCCTACGGCTGTAGTCCTTGCAGTCCACCCCCCTCGTGTCATGCATGTTCCCCCATATTAAAACATTATATCCCATATATTTGGCTTCCAATTTCCAGGTCATGTGCCCTATAGTTAAATCATAAAGTCCCTTTCATTGCACTTTTGGACTAATGATTTCACTTTCTTATTTGTTAGGATGTTACCAAGATGACAACGTGAGGCCTCTACATCTAAAGGAAAAGAAAAGGCTGACGCACCTAACATCTCAGCATGTACATGTGCCGACGAATATGGCACGAAACGTTTCCTTAGTGCGAATCAAAAAAAGTTATTAAATCGGGTAATGATGACGAGAAAACTGTGGTTGAAGAAACGATTATTCTAAGAGACTAAGTAGGATATGAGATAACTACTCTCATAGGCAAAACAAATTGGACAGGCGTGATCAATAAACCATATAAGGTATTTTCCACAGTGGTTCAAGAGTTTTATACAAGCTTCAACCACCAGATTGATGATTAAGAAACAGAGCATGATTACTACACATGGATCAGGGACAAGTGGGTGATGTTCACACTCGAGGTGATTGATCAATACTATGGTTTGACTCAGGAGAACATCATCCCAGTACCTATAGAGCAGGATATGGTTCTCATAGTTCAGATGCCCTACAAGGGACAGGAAAATGTAGGGGAGGAGTTTGAATATAAGAAGTTGACCCATTCCTTACAATGCTGATGAAACTCATCTGCCACAACATTGAGTCTATCTCATATATGTCTACTTTCAACTGTGCCAAGATATTTTTTCTACCCTCATCTGTGGGATATGCATAAATTCAGAGGTAAGACTTCTCCCACCAAAGCAGTCGGCTCCATCCAGTATCCATATCAACCGTAATATGACGAAAAACTCTTGGCACACTCCTTCAGAGTAGATATCACCAGCAACTGGAGGAAGCCATGGGCCCACAGCCTCGCATCCAAACCTTTTCGTTGACACCCTACTCCTGCGACAATTACTTGCAAGATTGACTGAGAGCATCCAAGGCATGTTACGGATAGACTAGTTGCTTGGGTCCTTGGATTTGAGAGTTGGTCACACTGAGATCCGCACTACTATTATACATGATCATGTGATGTTAGTACAAAAGGATGTTTCCAATGTAAACAAGTGGATCATCATGGTCATCAAAAGGGTAGATTGATATGTCAGATGGAATTCTAAGCTTAATATCTGAATTGATGATAGCTTTGATATAATGAGCGACATCCAGACCGAAATGGACCAGCAGTCTACTTGGTTGAGAGAGAAATTCTCGTACACTTGCATCCACATCCTCCTCCATCTTCTTCAGATTCAACGGATTTTGGGGCTTATATACCATTTCCACGACCGACTACGTCAGATTGACCGGGGAGTATCTATGTCCCCTCTTTGCCCTTCTTTTTGTATTTTACTATCATATTTTTGTATATTGAAGGCAATGCACGTGTTAAGTTTGGAGGTAGCTGATTGACTCATCATTGATTGTTATATAAAGTTAACTACTTTTGTATGATTATCGAAAGTTAAAAAAGACATTTTCTTTTATGCTTTTTACTGCTTTTGTGTATCTATGCGAGTTGGATAGCCTTGCTAGCAATAATGTATACATTGAAGTTATGTGGTAGACAAGAAATTGTAGAGATGCTACATGTTCAATTGATTGATACTTGTTTGTGTGAAACTTGATTTTTATTGACCACGAGACTCATGTTTTGCATTTTAAGTTAACGAACTAGTTCATATGAGAAAAGTTCGAAAAACCTCGATTACATACTCCACTACACCAGTTATAGGATAATTTGAGGTGGTTGAACTAGCATAGAGGAACATCAAGATGAATATGGACTCCATACATTAATTTATGGTGTGGATTGTCTAAAGCCAACAAAATGAAATAAGGCGAGAATGTAAGTTAGAGGTCGAGTTTCAAGAATGAGTGTTTCAAGCATAAGTGTTTTTGGCATCCTATAAATTGAAAAGCACGTCCAGAAAACAAAGTGCCAATTTTTATCATAGTATAGCAAGAAAAGATAGATTTTTACACTCAAGGAGCGGAATTGCATCATCTAGGGTTGAGTTTCAAGCAAAGAATGGAAGTTTTCACGTTCTTCTCGAGTTTTTTAGTCTCGGATGATGTCTTTTCTTATTGTTTTGTGTAATTTTCTTATGGCCATGTTAGGCTAGATATTTTTATGTGTTGGATGAATGACAAAACCTATTGATTTTTAGTTTTTAATTCGACGCTTACCATTTTTAGTTAATTCTCATGTTTATGATTTCATATGCATTAATTGTACTTGTTTTATTGTTTGTGCACCATTAGGACATATAAGTTGCTTATTTCTATTGTAGAAAAAACTCACAATAGTTAGAACAATACATATTTAACACACGGACAATAGATATTAGGAATAATATTTATAGCATGTGCAATAGCGTGCAGTAATCTTATGATTAGATACATGTTTTTCATATAAATTCGGATTAGGAGTAGGATCGAGTTGTACTAAAAATAGGTTTGATGTATCTTAGAAAAGAATATTGAATATTAATGGATTATTGATTGTCAAAAACACATTAACCAAACTAATTAACATAAGTCGAGAATTAAAGTGAGATATCAATAGGTGGAGTCGAAAATCCAATACATTCATCTCATATTTGATAAAAATCAATTTTTATTGCTTTCATAGTTAAATTTAGTATAAAAACCAACAATCAATCTCTTTTGTATTACATTAGATCGGATTTGATAAAGACAAGTACATTTACAATTAAACATTATTCCTTATCGGACTTTAACTAAATTAATCACATTTATTACTTATCAACGATTTCATATGCTTGCATGATCTAGTTCTGTTGATCCTATATCAATTGCTGGAGGTTTTGACACATTCAAGGAAGATGATGAACTGTAGAATAGAAGGCAGCTACCTACCTGGATACAAAAAGGCTCATCCATTGGATAATATACTTTTAGACCTTGGAGATGGTGTGGTGACCAAAAGGAGAATTGCCACTAATCTTGGATATGTGTGCTACGCCTCACATTTGGAACCTAAAAATGTGAATAAAGCACTTGGAGATGAGTCATGGGTTCATACAATGCAGGAAGAGCTTGCTCAATTTGAGCGAAATAATGTTTGGGAGTTAGTACATCGACTAATAGATATAAACGTGATTGGAACAAATTTAGATCTTTAGAAACATATTAGAGGAGCATGACAACATTGTCAAAAATAAAGCAAGACTAGTAGCACATTGCTATACTGAAGTTGAAGGAGCGGACTTGAAGTGACTTTTACACCTGTGGCCAGATTTCAATCTATTAGACTTCTATTGCATGTTAAATGGGGTTCTATTGCATGTTAAATGGGGTTCTAACTTTATCAGATGGACGTCAAGAGCATTTTTCTAAATGGAATTTTAAATGAAGAAGCCTGCATTGAGCTATCGAAATGATTCATTGATCCATATCTTCCTGACTATGTTTTCAAACTTAAAAAGGCATTGTATGGGCTAAAAGAAACTTCCCAAACTCAGTATGAAAGACTTACTATGTTTCTATTTGAAAAAGGATACAATAGATGGAGAGTTGACAAGACTTTGTTCATCAAACATCTCAAATATGGATTGATAGTAGCACAAATTTATGTAGATGATAATGTTTGGATCTACGTTTGAAACATAATCCAGGGAGTTTATTACTATTAAGCAAAACGAATTTTAGAAGACTATGGCTGATAAAACAAACTAATTATTAGATTTGTAAGTCAACAAGTTGACTTAGGGATCTTCGTCTCACAAGTCATGTATGCAAGGAATCTAGTAAAGGAAATTTGGTCTAGATAATACCAAGAAAGTCATGACTCCTATGGCTATGTCCCTAAAGATGTGCAGAGATGACCAAGTCAAGAACGTTAACCCTAGCTTGTACAAGAGCACGATAGGCAATCTATTGTATCTGACTACTAGTCGTCCTAATATAGCCTTCAATGTTGAAATCTATTTGAGATATCAAGGCAAACCAAAAGAATCTCACTTAGCAGCTGTGAAATGAATCATTAGATATGTTAATAGCACTTCCAATTTTGGTTTATGGTATACTAATGATCCAAACTCTCATTTTGTAGGATATACTATGCTAATTGGGCAGGAAACATGGATGATGGGAACAGCACTTCTGGTGGATGTTTCTATATAAGTAACAATCTTATTGCTTGGCTAAATAAGAAACAAAACTCAATATCTTTATCTACTGTAGAAGCCGAGTATATTGTTGGTAGTTGTTGTACATAGCTAAGCACGATGACATTAGACACCACTTCATCAAGGACTTAGTTGAGACGAATGTAATTGTATTGGAACACATAAATAATGAAGGACAACTAGTTAATTTAGTCACCAAACGTTTACATACTGTTAGATTTGAAACTTTGCAAGATGGACTTATGCATGATGCAATAAATTATTTTGATATACGTATCCTTTTTGTTTTGTTTTATATGTTCACTTTGTGTGCAAGTGTTAAAAAAAAAATGAAAAAGATTAAACAAAAAATAAAAATAAAAAATAAAAAAATTGGGTCTTTTCTTGCAAATGTCAAAAAATGTGAATTATTTATTGGTATGTAATTGTTGAGATAAAGTTGGATTCTCCTATTAGTGTGTGCGTACTATGACTTATAGTAAATCGTTGTCAGATAAGTACACCTACTAAGACATTTTGACTAATTCAATTGTAACCATCTGCTAACTAGGTTGTCATCTTATGGCGAAAAGAAATCAGGTATGGACCTTGGTCAGTGTCTATGTCTCTCTGCACTATAATATGTTGTTGTGTTAACAGGTAGGTTCATGGAAGAGAGGGTCACCACCATAGGTGTGTGAAACCGTCCTTGATAATGAACATAAGTCATGAGAAAAGGGTAACCCCTATGATTGTGTGAAAGTTAACTCCATTATTTAATATATATATATATTTTAAAATAGAACTAAAAATAGCCAACACAACAAGCATTTAAAAGAATATTGAAAAAAAATTGTATACATAAAAAATTATATACATACTCATGTCTTGCAAGCACATTTTTTTTAAATTTACAAAGACAACTTCAGATGATGGCTAGTTGGAAACACACTTCTAAATTCAATCACCATAAGTATCAACTTTAATTAGGACATGATTCATTATTGGTTAGTCTAAATGCTTCTCTAACACACTCACTTCATAATCTAATAACTTAATTGAATTGATTATGAGCAAATATTTGGACAGAAATTTCATGTTTATGTCAAGAATTTTTAAGCTGACTGTGAAATTTGTCCAAATTTATTGTGATTGATTCCATTTTGAATAAATTTTGTATTTTTTTTGATCGACACTCGTGGGCTTTTTCATAGATTCTCTGACCAATGGTCTAAACTTGGCAATAAAATTTAGTATCCACTAATAAAAGACAAAATTGGGCGCAAAAGATTTTTAAAAATGGGAACTTCATTTTGGTCAAATATGAAGGCTTGGTTCTGCCATGTTTTGTGATTGAAATTGAGATGTTAATTTTCAAAAAATGGGGCGTAATAAATTTTTATTTGTGGTAATGGTGAAGTAGTGATAACAAAAATATGAGTGTTTGGATGCTTGAGCATGATGAGACCCAACTGAGTGGGAGCTGATTATTGTTTGATGATAGTCATCACACACATATGATATTAAAAATCTAAGATAAATTTTTGGAAATCTAGCAAAGTCGGAGGGGAAAATTGTTGAAAAAATATTTGTCATATTTGTACAAATGTTATTTATTGGCTTGCATAATATAATTGTTAATTTTTAATTGTCATACATTGAAAAATAAATTGTCAAAAATATGAAACGAGATACATGTCTTAACAGACAGTTAGTATTGATTGACTGAGAATGTAACAAAAACAAAGTTTGTGAATGTTCAATTCAGTTCAAAGATCAAGTTGCTTGATGTGAGTTAAGAATTGTGATTCTTAATTCAAGCGGTTGTTGTAAACGAGTACAATAGTCAAGTGGTGATAAAGTCAAGAACTGAGGGTTTGATTTCACTTCTACAACATGTCAAAAGAAAAAGAAAATGAGTGAGTTGCTCTTACATTTCTTTTGATTATTATTTTTTAATTTTCCGAAATTACAAAAAACTATCATATTTTTTATCATTTGATTTAGTGAATTGTTTTATCGTCGTATGGGGACACATGGATGTTTCCCTTTGGAGTTTACCATGTTACATTTAGTGTTTCGATTTTAATTTCCTATTTAAATTTTGCATCTAGGTGAAATTCACGAAGAGAGCACATCCTACACTTAACAGTCAGATTCTATTAAAAACTAAGTGGAGGAAGTTACTGACTTCCGTCCAGAAACAGAATAGTAAAACTAAAATTCATTTTTCTCAATTTATCTAGATTTTTGAATTTATCTAACTTCTAATAAAAAAGGGGAAGGAGGGTATACTATTGATACAATAGTAAATTAATCCAATTTTGTTATGCATGATGTCATTTTTTATTT